CGTGAAACAGAGGAGACTGTTGCGTGCCCCTACCACAGTTCCACACATTCTTTTTTGTTGTTCTCGCTCAGCTTTCAGTCCGTTACTTAATCGTGACAGATTTAGTTTAATGAAAACATTTTTAGGATCTCCAGCGCTTTATTGCGTTTAAAATATCTGACATTCCCAAAACTACAACATGCGCTGTATAGACAGTAATCGTTGTAAAATCCGAATATGTAATTTATTTAACTGTAACTTATTAAGAGTTACAATTCTTTTGGCATGTTAGTAAAAAATTATGAGAGTAACATTTTATGGATATCGACAAACAAAAAGCGACGTGCTTAAGTTGGTTGCAAAACGGCCAACTTTAACCAACTTCAAGGTATCATGTCAACCAATAACAACTTTTGACATTTACCTATAATTACAAGGTAATTAATTAAATCGTTATCAATTGTATTTTTTATTTCATATTAAATACTTAATGGCTACGCTATAGACGTATAACTTCTTACTTATGTACACACATTTTTTTTGTTTTGTTTAACAATGTTGTGAAGCTTACTCTGTATGTAATGTGTCAGATTAGGTTACTTATCTTTTTAACACGTCGGTTTTATATCTATAGCTCGTGGCTACTAAACCTCACCTTGAGTTATTGCACCATATCACCGTCGATCTTACGAGTACCATCATCGCAACAAGCATTATTTTGCAAGTTCCGAGTGAATCTACGAATGTTTGTACGTTGTGTGGTGATAAGTTTATCACCTATCATATTTTGACATACTTCCAGTGAAACATGCAGATTTCTGTCCGACCCTGTACAGTGACAGGAGTACATAATTTCTACTATGTCACTCATAAACACTAAAAAACATAAGTGCAATGTAAACAATGGTTTTATCAAATACGAGATAAAAGTGCTACAGTGAAGTGTGTTCGCGTATTAACAGTAGTAACCTTTTAATGTGTATTATCCGCGTTATTAATATTCTTAAAATATTAATAACGCGGATAATACACATTAAATAATGTAATTGAAATGGTTTATCTTACGCGATTTTAATACATGGAATTATATTATTTCGCAGGTGCTAAAAATAAAACGCCATAAACATTTATACTTAAAGTTAAAGTCATCGTCCAAATTTGTTCTTTTATATGTATATATATATATACTATATACGGTGGTAGGGCCACGCAGCAGCCTCGGTTGTTGCACGAATGGGCAGGCTCGTCCGGATAAGTACCACGACCTCACAGAAGACCGGCGTAAAGTGGAAGTATATCTAATACTTTCGCGGTTCTTCTGGTATGTGAGGTGGCCGGAGCCCAATTTTCATAAGGTTGTCAACGCATCTGGAACCCTCGGGTGTACCAGATGTCAGAATACAAAGAGACGAATTAGCAAGAATGCAAAATTTCGTGGTTTTAAGGTGGTTGGTCATAGTTAACCGTAACGACAGTTGTAGTTATAGATGTATAACACTAAACTTTAAGTAAAAAAAAATCTTCGAAGAAAAAAAACATTTAAGATATGTTGATTAAATATACACTATCACATTAAATGTAAAATGTATAAGGTGTTAAATCTCACAAATGTATTCCGGTGCGATTAATTATACGATGTGGTTATCCTTATCTTCCAACCATGAAAATGGTTCCCTCTTTAACATGCATTATTTTATTATTGAAGATATAAGGGAAGTTTTGCCCATTCGAGAGTATTCGAAAGGACAGCATCCCAGAACATCCCGAAACATTCTAGAATGGAATGTATATGTCGAATGGATCGCTGTGGATCATTCCAGAACACACTCGGATTATGGAATGTACCGGAATGTTGTGGACATCTTGGGTTTAACGTCAGATTCATATCAATGAATTTGTTAATAAAACCAAACAGGGAAGTTTGAGTTATAACGGTGACTGTAAATTGTGACACGTATATTTTAGTCCCCCGACGAACTAGAACGAACACAGTGAGAAACAAAGACACCGTAGAACAACAAAATTAATGAATTGAATATTCATAAAGTGCGACACAATCATATAACAAAAGGCTGCGAACGCTAGCCACCCATGAAAACATCACTGCGAGAAGCGCTGACTGGAACAATTTATTTTAAATAAGATTTAGAACGGCAATCAGTAGTTCGTTCATTCAACAAGGACCTTAGAAGAAATGTACAATGTTCGACAAATGAATATCTAAGTCGCATTCTCATTAAACACAAGTTATAGTTTTTGGTAATAATTTAATATAAATAGTACTGAAATGTGATTATGTGGGGAGGGGTTTCAGCTGTTTTCATAGATTGACAGAACTCTACGAAGTTCGACAATGTTTAAACGGAGAACTTCGTGTAAGTTTAGTCTCGTTCTATCTTTATCAAATTATTCAGACGCCTGCAAAGACGAAAGTTTTTGCTTTTCTATCTACAAAAATAACGTTTTTATATTCATTTTGATTGCTGAGGCTAGCACTAAAAATAAAAATTAGTCCTAAATTCTAAGAGCAAAGTTGGTATTTCTCGTTACAAAATATGTTCAACGTTAATTTTTCTTTGTAAGGTGTTTCATTCTGTAAAGTATCTCTATATTTATCTACGTTCTTTATTGCTAAGAATGCAATAAAGGATGTAGTAAATCTTTACGCCAAGACGTCATCGGCCCCTTAACTTAGTTGGTAACTAGCGACCTGCCCCGGCTTCGCACAGGTGCAATGTATTATACATATAAACCTTCCTCTTGAATCACTCTGTATAGTAAAAAAAAACCGCATCAAAATACGTTGCGCAGTTTTAAGGATCTAAGCATATATAGGAGCAGATAGACAGCGGGACGACTTTGTTTTATACTATGTAGTGAAGCGTCTAGGTGCTAAACTGGAAGGCGCTGGCTCAAACTCCGCAGCGAGATTTATTCATTTATCTAAAAAAAACACGTTTTAATATTTATCTAGCAGTAAAAGTAAAAATTAACCCTAAATGTATTTAGTAATGTAATAATTCTGCTTGATGCGTTCCAGGCAAACTTATATCAACCACTGATTGTAGTAGAGATTAGGAACGATTGGCTGAGAATGTAATTAGGAACGGCGTGACAATTAGTACCCAGAAGTGGTGGATGTATACAAGAAGAAGAACCATGAAGAGTAGAGATTACGGACGTGTGCCCACTCATCTCTGCGAGAGACATTATTGTGTTTTCTGACTATTAACATTGAATCTACGTGTCAGAATTGATTGCTCGTCAATGAGTGAAGGTTGTCTAGATAGTTATAGGAACAAATTGTTTATAAATGTTTTTCCTTTCATTCTGATTGAACCTTGACAGATAGTAGGAAATAGAATGATATGGACCGTTCTATAGTATCGTATAAAAAATAGTTAAAATAAGTAAATTCTTTACCTGCCGATTTCATATTTCTAAGCTTTATGAAAACCTTATACGAAAAATTCTTTTGGAACATTATATTATATGTTGTATTTCCATTTTTAGTTCAGAATATATGTTTTCGGAATGGTTTCAACATTGAAACAATTCCTGTCTATTGTATGTTATTAAACATTTCTGGGTTCACCATCGCCCTACAGCAGGGAGCAATAGGCTACCTACAGAGATTTCTTTTTGAGATATGATATATAACAGAGATGATGAGATATATAACATAGATTCTATTTGACAATATGAGTTTTTTTTTTATTACAGTTACGGTTGCGCGCACTAAACGGCTAAGGGTGTTTTTTTTATTGTTAGCAAAAGCGGACATTCAAAAGACCATTTTAAATGCAGTTGCGTGCACCTTTAAAAGGAAGGGGCCCACCGACAACTTACTCACCAAACGGAACCATAGAGAAGTAAACACTTCTGCTTCACGCTATTCTTCCGTGAAGTCAGTGGCCATACATTCAAATGGTGGTGGTATATTTGTACTACATAAACCGTAATATACTTCAACTTATTCTAGTAAGAACTTTCCGATATACCACGCAAGTGGTTGTTGAGATAAAGACGCTTAGTACGCAATTTATTGCTAATTAGAAACAGTATTAAGAATCTCAGATCCTTAAAAATTAATAAGTACTTTTGAAATGAAAACTTGTGTCGTAATCACAAACATCAAAGTCAACAAACAGTTAAGTATGTCTATTAACCTTATCGCAGTTTATAGATGGGTACGTGAGGACAATAGTACTACTATATATACTTTGGGAAATAACATTGATTTAGTCATGTCGAAAATTCATCAAAACATCAGTCATCATCGAAATCATAATCGATTCTTTATAGACTCCACGGCTTTTTCAGTAGAAATGCGAATGTAATAAAAAACGATCTATCTACAGAATTAAAAACATAATTTTGTTCGGAATCTTTTACAATTATCAAGCATTCGTTTAACGTTTGTGATAGTTTAATTTAGAAATTAAGTGATAATAATTTAGGTCTGATAACTGATTTGTCCACTAGACCGACTTGTAGACTGATGTTGAATCCAAGAGAAACACCAAAAATTAAATGCTTAAACTTGCTGAGTAGAGAAAGTGAAGACTTACCTTTTCATGATTTTGGCCTTCCTTGACTCCGTATTCTTGCACTAGTATCTTATCAGAGCCGAAAGTTGACAATGCAACAGATTCGCCGTACAAACAGATAAATTAATATGCAGGTTTGGAGTACTCAACATGCACATATTTATGTCTACATAACATACCTCTAAAAATTCAACCTTTGCCATGCTTCAGCCATTATAGGATACAGAATATGGAAATACGGCACAGTTAATACATAAGGAATAAAGCAATGTAATATACTACGACATCTTGCAAAAGCAACCATTTCCCGAAACCTTTATTTAAGATGAAGTCATATAACGATATCGATATCTCAAAAAACTGTAATACAAATACAATAATAATTGATTGTTTCAGGTAACATTCAGTGGAGATGCTGAAGGGCCAAGAACATTTCCCCGTCATACATTAATAGAAGTGTAATAAAGCAAAATGAAGAAGGAACCCGACACGCCGACCATCCGTACCGTTCAGGATACGTACAGTTCTAAGTAAGTTTTTTTAAGATTATAAAAAACACCTGATATCCACGTTTCGAGTGAAAAAGGACAATTAACATCACGTGGCACACCAATAATTTGTATATTAAAGGGAAAAACTTAGCCTTTCAAATAGAACCAGTGTCGAATCATTAAAACTAACCATCTGGGTTTACGAACAAAACCGATTATATACATTTCGACAATATTACTACAACCGTTGTCGAATGAACTCACCTGTTAGTTAACTGTTTATGATAAGTATTAATCAAGGACGTGTTATCGGTATCTTTTTTTTTATGCGAAAAGTTGCCAAACGATCAGACGGGTCACCTGATGTTAAGTGAATACCGCCGCCCATGGACATCTGCTACACCGGAGGGTTACAGATGCGTTGACATTTTGAAAATTGCGCCCCGGCTACCTCACTCACCAGACGAAACGTGAAAGTATTTGTCATACTTCCACTTTACGCTGGTCTTCTGTGAGGTTGTGGTACTTACCCGGACGGCCCTGCCCATTCTTGGGGCCGTGGCCCTACCACCTGAAAATCTTATACAGATATTGGATTAGCGCTTGAGAAACTTTTTATGCCCTATAAGTAGCTTAAAGACACCTTGTGACAAAAACTACTGATCATAATTTATAAAAATTAAATTATATGTTGTTTTAAAACTTTGCTTTTCCTCCTCAAGCACGCACAACTTCATAAGAAGATGTGACTTGCCGTAAACAATTTTTTTACGAGTTTGATTTATATTAACCACTAACGCATTCTACATCTCGTGTATGTTAACTGAAGCTAGAAAGTGTTGCCTAACACATCTCAAAACTTCGTCTCATACATGTTCTATAGGATTTAATATCACCCTTTTATTGTTGTCTTTATTATCAATATACTTCTCCCATGGCCAGAAAATAAATAAAATCTGGACTCACCAGAACCAAAACCCTAGGGCTCCAATAAACAGATGAAGATTGGTCTGGACGTGCTCTCGAGCAAAACATAATCAGGCAACTCGATGTTCTCTCAGAAGTTTTCGGCCATTTGCTAGCCTGTATGGTTTTATATAGAATTGACGAAGTCATCGTAGAATCGTGTCAGTCGGTGGTGCTAAATTTCTTAAAGCCTGTTTCACGCCTGAACAGCCTTGAGACGTCAATAGTGCTCACGATACATCGATCTTCTTGTTATCCACCTTGGGTTGCCTTTTCTTCGTCTTGGGTTCTGGAATACTCTTTGGACGTAGATAAAGATACCCTTACTACTGTTCTAGCACTATTTATCTGACTTCTTTCTTCTTGCACCATAGTAATAATCCGTTATTCACACTGATAAATTTAAGCAATCCAAGAAATTGTTTATAAAGACCACTCAACTTAATACGATAGCGAAAACGAATATTTTACGGTGGTAGGGCCACGTAGCCGCCTCGGCTGTTGCACACACACACACGCGTCGTCCACACACTGCCCTAGGAGTCGGGCAGGTGCAGGTGCGGGCATCGGGGAATCGAACCCCATAACCCGGGCATTGTCTCAAGGGGCGCACCGTCGCCCCGGTCAATGGCTCCTAATATCGGACGCGAACAGTATGGAGATAACCTATATGATGTACCATAGGCGTTTCGGATGCGCGTATAAATGTGCCGACATTGTTTACTTTCAACACTACATAATTAATAAATTAGCCATATAGTGTTAATTGTTTACAATAGTCGACAACTATTCATATACGCACCCGCCACGTCTGCCACCGCTATGACAACAGATTTCTCCGTCGCCATAGCAACGGCAATGGACATTACTATATTGGCGTCGGTCCCGCCATCCCCCCCAACCCCCCTGTGTGGGAGCGAGACAGGCAGCTGCAATATCTCTCGCGGAAGCGCGCGCCATTCAGGAGGAGGCGCATGCAAGGGTGCGAATCCGTTGAGATGTTTATGCGGACCTTTATCCGCGCGGTCGAACATACGTCTCGCTAGACGTACGATGAAGGATTCGAGGGGTTCGATACTCAAGTCCCTCGCAATACGTCATTCCTAACATAGCGACCCGCTCCTACGACAGTGCGTAGAGACAGATTCTGCTGGGCCTGTAGACGATTCCTTTGACGGTTGGATATTAGGGCGTACCAGGTGGGCGCCGCATAAGTGAGCCGAGAGCGTACATATGTCTTGTACACCGCAAGCTTAACTCGGGTCGGCAGATGGGATGCCAAAACGGGATGTCTTTGTCTTTCGTTTGGCTTTCGTCGGGGTCGCTCAGCCGGTGATCTTCTGGTCTACCTTACACATCGATGGGCAGAAGCAGTTGAGAGCAAGGGGGAGGCGCTTGCTGCCAGTCTGGACATAGCGGAGGCCTTTGATCGGGTATGGCACAAAGCGCTTCTTTCGAAGCTGCCTTCCTATGGGCTTCCCGAGAAATTATGCAATTGGATCACCAACTTTTTGGCAGATCGGAGCATCAAGGTCGTCGTCGACGGTGCATGCTCCGATCCTAAATTTGTCAATGCTGGTTTTCCACAAGGCTGCGTACTGTCTCCTACTCTGTTTCTTCTGCATATCAATGACATGTTGCAAATCAGCAACGTCCATTGTTATGCAGACGATAGCACTGTGGATGTCTCGTACACTGGCCGAGCTAACATTTCTCGGGAAAACGTCTACGAGAGTCGGAACAAGCTTGTGTCTGAGGTCGAGACTTTGTTAATCAAAGTCTCAGACTGGGGTCGACTAAACCTAGTCCAATTCAACCCCAAAAAGACACAAGTTTGCGCGTTAACCGCTAAAAAGTCCCCATTTGTCGTGAGTCCTCATTTCGAGAACACTCCCCTACCTGCCACAGCTAGTATCGGAATGCTTGGCGTCGAAATCTCGAGCAACGTCCAGTTCCGCGGTTAATTGGAAGGTAAGGCCAAATTGGCCTCAAAGAAGCTTGGTGTGCTCAGCAAGGCGAGACGGTACTTCACGGTAGCCCAACGCCTAAACCTCTATAAGGCGCAAATTCGGCCCCATATGGAGTACTGTCCTCACCTCTGGGCGGGAGCCCCCTATTACCAGCTTCTTCCATTTGACCGCATTCAACGTAGGGCGGCTAGGGTTATCGACGATCAAAGTCTTTCCGATCGGGTTGATCCTCTGGCTCTGCGTAGAGATGTTGGATCACTCTGCATCTTCTACCGCATTTATCACGGGGAGTGTTCTGAGGAATTGTTTGGATTGATCCCGGCGGCTGAATTCCACCATCGGATATCGCGCCAGAACCAAAAATTTCATCCACACTACCTCGATGTCCAACGTTCCACAACAGTGCGATTTTTAAGGCATTTCTTGCCTCGCACAACCACTCTGTGGAACCAACTGCCGCCGGCGGTCTTTCCGAACCGTTACGACCTGGGAACCTTCAAAAAGAGAGCGTACTCTTTCTTAAAAGGTCGGCAACGCATTTGTGAGCCCTCGGGTGTTGCAGGTGTTCATGGGTGGCGGTAATCACTTACCATCAGGTGAGCGTCCTGCTCGTTTGCCCCTTTTCTCCATAAAAAAAAAATGTAGTACCACACGAGCGGCTCTAGTTTGGCGGACAACATGGTCCACCTGGGGGACTAGGCTTAGCGTGCGGTCTATCATACACCCGAGATAAGTCACGGTGGACTGCCATTCGATGTTTTGCCCTCGGTGACATAAATGTGGTGTTCGCGTGAGTATCCGGGCGGTTGTGAACGCGGACGTCTTACCGACGTTAAGGACGATCCGCCATTTATCCAACCATTCCGGAAGCAGATCAAGCAGCCTCTGCATCCTGCTAATTGCAACTTCGAGCCGATGTGATGACGTAAAATACGCGCTGTCGTCCCCCTCTTTCGCCCTCCCTGAGGCGACCTACCAGGGTGGGGATGTCATTGGTGTACACCGCGTACAGAATTGGGCTAATACAGCTTCCCTGTGGCACACCAGCCTCTATGCTTCGTACATCCGAAACTGAGTTTTCTACCACAACTTAAAAACTTCTATTATATAAATAAGATGATCTTAATTTTATAATTGCATGGGAAATTTTTGTGCATTCAAATAATTTAAAAATAAGGCCTTGGTGCCACACACGGTCGAAGGCTTTTTCAATGTCCAACAGCACTCCGACCGATTTGCGTCCGACATTTTTGTCGAAAACTAACTCGTGTAGTACGCGTGTTAATTGAGTTGTCGAAGAGTGACCGCCTCTAAACCCGTGTTGTTCTGGGCGAAGCTCAATGTGTGGCCATATGCGTCTTAAAAGAAGTCTCTCGAAAAGTTTGCCGAGACGTGATAAAAGTGTTATGGGTCGGTAACTTTGTGGTAGTCGCCTGTCTTTACCTGGTTTCGGTAGTACGAAGATTCTTCCGGTTTTCCATAAATCTGGAAAGTGCCCCGCGCGAATACTACTATTAAAAAGCCGCGGTATTTCAACGATAGTTTTACGGGGGAGCTGCCTTAGCGCCGAATTCGGAATCCCGTCGTGCCCAAGGGCCTTACGCACCGGTAGGCGCAACACGGCTCGCCACACCTCAGAAGGCGACATAAATGCCACCTCGCTGAGGTCCGGCGCCGGGCCCGACAAGAACTCCTGTACGCGATTATCCACTAGCCTGTGGTTCGCGCCGACCACACGGTTTCCTACATTCGGATGGTTCAATTGAAATTGTCCCTCGAGGTGTTCGGCTAGGTTGTCCGCGCGCGCTTGAGCGCTGTAGTGACGCAGCCCCGCTCCGTCGACCAAGGGACATACTGCCGCTTTGGCTCGAGAAAGCTGCCGGTTCAGTAGGTGGAGCGACGTAGGATGCTCTCCTGCGTCATCTATACGTCTACTCCACAACTCACCGCGGTGGTTTTTCACCTGTTCCGACAGCTTCTCTGAAAATTTATTTAATTCACTCTTGATTCGAGGGCATCGACTGCGCTGCCATAGGTTTCTCAATGCCCTTTTGCGCTTGATTTGCGCATAAAGGTGCATTGGTAGTTTATCGCTGCGCACGT